CAGACATTTGGCTTCTGAAAAACTTTCGGAAGCCGTAACACTTACTTCCAGGTTTGCAGCATTCGGGAGCCGATTTGTTTGACAACTAAGCAGTTCGTGAACCAAGGTACCCCTGTATATCAGAGTTTCTCTCTCCAGGAGAAACCCTCACCAGGACAGGAAGTCCAATTTATGCAGTTTGAAAGCTTCTCATCAAAGCATTGCAGCCATTTCAGGGGGTTTAGGCAGGAAAACTGAGAGGCAGATGAAGCTGTACAGGAATGTCAAGAGCATTTGTTGAAGCTATTTACTTAAGGCTTTGTAATAACTATAATGTTGCCTGCACCCCAATTTCTGTTTGGTAAGAGATTCCTGGGGTTCCAGTGCTAACCCAGAATATGGTTTCCTTTGAATGCTCAATGGAGTTAAACCCTAATGTGAGTAGTTTGAACTGGGCCCGGAACTGAACTGGCAATCGATCCAGCTGTTTTAAAAGAGGAGTTAGATGCGGAAGGCATTAACTGCTGCAATATTTCTGTTCTTGTTTAGGTGTGATAAATCTCAGAGAAGAGCAGCCATGGCTTGTAAGAGCAGCAAACAAGACACATTAGCTCAAATGAATCAGCCATCTGGCAAACGTACCCTTGATATCGCCATCGTAGGGGACTCAGGTGTCGGCAAATCATCCCTGGTCAATGCCCTGCGAAATATGGCAGATGATGAGGGTGCAGCTGCGGTTGATGTGATAAAAGATACTAGGGAACCAACGGGGTACTTGTACTCCCAATATCCAGATGTAACCCTTTGGGATCTACCAGCTGAAGCCAAACTTTATTCAATTACATATCTTCAACTCAATATGAAAGCAAAGATGTTTAATGTTTCTTTTTTCTGTGCTATTGTGGCTGTACCCTTATAGAAGGATGCAGAGACCATACCTGCCCTCACCTTCCTCTTAATAGCAGTATTGTGGGGAGAAGGATTATCATCAGAATCATGGGATGGGGAGGGAAAGTTTCAAACTCTCCTTGGCCTGCAAATCCCTTCTGGGCTGTTGAGCTGACTGGGGAAGCGCTGAGAGTGCACAAAAGGAGGCTGGACAGCAGAAGTTAACAGTTAGAAATCGAGAAATCGTAGAATTCGAGCATGCATTTCCCCCCTGAACAAAGCAAAACTGTTACACTGCCCACTCTCCTCTCCCCCTTTTACTTCAAAAATGCTTTCCTGACACTAATGCAGCAGCCCCTCTTTTCTCCCTTGGTTTGAGGGTCATCTCTCAAAGGGAGACATTCTGGGTTACATGGCCGGGGAGAGTCGCCTGCATCACAGGGGCTAGAAATCGTTTTAAAACATAGTTAAAAGTTCGAGATTAATAAAGTTAAGGACTTGCAACCACTTTGAACTTTTTGTTATGGCATTCCTTAAAACATGAGTCTCGCTTCCTCGTTCAGTCTGAGGATAGTAGAGCCCACAGACAATTTAGGCTATGAGGGATTTTGTGAACTTGTGTGGTTTTGCTGTTTCGGTTAAAACACACTGGAACATAACGGTCATGGCCAACTGCAGCAGCTCAGGAAGATGCATGGCTCGTAGTTGACACTTTATTGGTAAGAGAAACACTGACAGCAGCTCCCACAGGGTGACTTCTTCTGCATGGAAGCCGCTGCTGCTCATTCATCTTCAAGCCCCTCCTGGTCCTAGGAGATGGCGGAGCAGGGGAAGGCGGGGAGTCAACTGGCCCATCCCTTGCCTGAAGAGTTTATTCTTCCTCCATCGCATCTTGCCCTAACTCTTCTTCTTCTTCCTCCCCCTGGTCTGGCTCCCATAAACCAGTGGCTCCCTTTCCTGGGTCAGCCTCCTGGCCCCCTGTCTCCACCACATTCACAATCCCTGACATCTATTCTCTGAGGAAGAATAAGCCAAGACGTTATGTTGCCTGAGGTGAAGGGCAAGATGGCCGCTGCCCCTCCCTCCATTCCATGGGCAGAAACCAACTGGATCAGCCACTGAATGACTTCAGAACACGGGCAATGTGGCCCGGTCCTCTCCTCACACGAAGGAAATGGCCTTAGGGGACTTAGGCAGGCTGTTTCCAAAGGGGTAGCCATGTCGGTTTGTTGAAGCAAAAACAGCAAAGGCAGACCCTCCAAGTATCCGTATTTTCCAGGGATGTCCCGGATTTAGAGAAGCCGCCCTGGTTTCTGATTTGATCCCGGAATGTTCCGCTTTTCCTTAGGATGTCCTTATTTTCATTGGAGAAATGTTGGAGGGTATGGAGTTATCTGGCCCCTGAGCTGCCTGAAGGCAATCTTGTATGGGGAAGTTATTTAAATGTTTAATGTTTAATGTTTTATTATGTCTTTATATTTGTTGGTAGCTGCCCAGAGTGGCCAGCTAGCCAGCATGGCCAATGAAGCCCAAAACATCTGGAAGGCATCAGTTTGAGGAAGGCTGTAGGGATCTTCCAGGTGTCCTTTTTATTGAGCATTCATATCTGAGCTCATACTGGGGTGATTATACATGATCCCACTTTCAATACCCTTTGCATCTGCAAATGTTTTGGGATGGTCATACTGCTTCGTCTGCAATAGGCATGGGTCCATAGTTTCCTGCTAAAGCCAGTGTGGTGTAGTGGTTAAGAGCGATAGACTCGTAATCTGGGGAACTGGGTTCGCGTCTCCGCTCCTCCACATGCAGCTGCTGGGTGACCTTGGGCCAGTCACACATCTCTGAAGTCTCTCAGCCCCACTCACCTCACAGAGTGTTTGTTGTGGGGGAGGAAGGGAAAGGAGAATGTTAGCTGCTTTGAGACTCCTTCGGGTAGTGATAAAGAGGGATATCAAATCCAAACGCTGCTGCTGCTGCTGCTGCTGCTGCTTCTTCTTCTTCTTCTTCTTCTTCTTCTTCTTCTTCTTCTTCTTCTTCTTCTTCTTCTTCTTCTTCTTCTTCTGCAACTTTTTCGTAGCACAAATGTTGATGGGTGTGTATGTTGCCCACTTTTGTCACACTACAGAGCAAGAGTGACCTTCCAGATGGCAATAATAACCGAGTGACATTGGGGAAGTGTTGCAGAACTCTTAATAGAGTGGAATGGTATCTGAATGGCCCACTATAAACCACCCACTCATGCATTATTACTGTGTCGATGACATGTTGTCTCAAGGCAAATCTAAAAAAATGTAGTATAAACACTGACTACTGGGAAACACTGGCCTGCGAGCGCTCCAGTTGGAGAACAGCCTTTACCAAAGGTGTCATGGGCTTTGAAGACACTCGAACTCAATTGATAGAAAGGACTGGCAGAATCCGCGACCAGGGAGAAGAGACGGTGGAAGAAGATTGGAAAAAAGTTTAAAATTTATTTATAGAAACATTGAAAAATTAATGAGTGTTAGAAAAATGTTGGAATGAAATTACATGGCTTTAGTAGAAAAGTTATAAGGAATTAAGGCAGCCCTGTTCAGGGAAGTTTTTAATGTATGATCTTTTAGTGTTTTTTGGTTTCTATGGAAGCCGCCCAGAGTGGCTGGGGAAACCCAGCCAGATGGGCGGGGTACAAATAATAAATTATTATTATTATTATTATTATTATTATTATTATTATGTACAAATAAGTTTCAGGGTATTAATGGTAAGATAAGGTTAAAATAAATTATGACAATTATATGACAGAAAATAGTGAAAGATGGAAAGGATTTGCTGAAATAATTAATAATTAGAACACAAAAAAGGGAGGTGCGAGGAGGTCGATGAAACAAGTTAATGAAAGACAAAGATATGGAAATATTGGATGTGTTTTTAATTGTTTTTGCTTTTGCTTTTGTTTTGATGTATTGTGTCTTTTCTTTTTCTTTTTTTATGTATAGCAATGTATTGATTTGTATTGTTTATTTTTTCTTTCTTTCTTTCCTCTTTCTGTAATCTTTAAACTTTTAATAAATATTATTTTTTTTAAAAAAAAAGACACTCGAACTCAGGACACAAGGGAGAAACGTGCCAAGAGGAAAGCACACTTGGCAAATCCACACCGTGATTAACTCCCACCCGGAAACCAATGTCCCCACTGTGGAAGGACGTGTGGATCCAGAAGTGGCCTCCACGGTCATTTACGGACTCACTGTTAAAACCATGTTTATGGAAGACAACCTTACTCAGCCCAGAGTGATTGCCAAAGAAGGAGGGGGGTCTAGATAATTCACAATATTTCTCATTTATGAGACTTTCATGGAAAACTGAAAGCTGATTAATAAGGGTGGCCAGGAGATTAATTTAACCAATTAGTTTATTTCATGAAAACCTATACAGCACTTGATTCTAATAAAACTTCAAAGCAGTTTGCAAAGAGAAAAAACAATAAAACCAAGAAACAATTACAGTCATGCTTTAAGATATGCAAGAATTAAAATACTAAAACAGACTAAAATTACCTCAACTTTCTATTTAACAAATGTGGAGGCTCCTGTCTAGCTGAATGCCCTCCTTCAGTTTGAGTGTGTATGAGGGAAAGAACATTCTGAAATAGATGTTGCATGGGACTTGTGATACAGAGCTAACTCCTGTTCAAATGCAGCATATATATATAGAGAGAGAGAGAGAAAGTGAATGCTGCAGCCTGCATAAATTATAACTTGAGACCATCCTTGCACTAGTTTTTTCTAGTCTGACATCATATACAGAGCAATTCATTAGTGGACTGAAAGAAGTATGAATAGGAAAAAGTCCATTTGTCCCAAAGTCTCCTTTCAGTATTGGTCTTAATTCTTATACATTGGATAGAGATACTAATTTTAAAAAGTAACTGAAAGGGTATTATGCTGGCATTCAGATTATTTAACTTAGGGGTTTTTTTTAAAAAAAAATGAGAAGCCTAAGATTTATGGAATTATTACAATAAAAAACCTGATCATCTGATTATTATTATTTTAATGTTCTTTGGTGGTGGTTGTTTTAAAAATGGAAATGTATAATTCACCAGATACTATATATCAAGCACTTAGTCATCATGGCACATCTGCTTGCTGCTAAATGGACTTTTTCCCATCTGCCTCAAGAGCTTTGGACAAAACCCTCTTGGTGTCATCAGCAGCACCCGATATGCATTTCTGCAGCATCAAGTAGGTGCGAGGAAGCGAAATCCCAACGGACAGAAGGCAGCCAAAGATGGGGAAATGCTCCCAGCGGTGATATTCATAAGCCATCACGGAGAGTCCCACCAAGTCTGGCAGCACCCATAACATGGCAGAGAACATTCCCAGGGACTGCATTGCTGCTTTAAGGGCTGTGCTTGTCTTTCCAACACGCTGGGCCAGAGCTGCAAGGGATGGATTGTCCAGGCCAAAGTCTAGGAAGCACCAGGAGCGGAACTTACTAAACAAAAATATGGGAAGAAGGAAGGGAACTGGGCTTCCAAGAGCGACCAGCAAACAAAGCCTTTTGGTCCAAATCTTCTCCTTCACAGTGGTTTTCTTTTTCTCTAAGATAGGCAGGCAGATGCTAGGGAAGCGGCGCAGAAAGGCTTGCCTCTTCAGCCGCAAGAGATCGTTCTTCAGCGTTTCCTGCAGGAGGGGGAAGTCAAAGCAGTCGGCTTCCCAGTTGGAGACGATGAAGACTTGTGGGTCCCTCACTCCTTCTCTTACCAAGCACTCTTTGCAGTCCTCCTGGATGTGCAAGAGGACCTTCTCCTCATTGTAGTCAGATGGCTGTTGCCTCTTGGCGGCCGACAGATCCAGGTCTGCTTTGGCGCGCACAAAGTAGAAGCTCTTGCCCATATCTTGGATTTCACGGACCAGGTCAGAATGGGTGGAGCGGAAGCGCTGGGAGCCGACGATGACGAAGAAATCAAAGTGATTCAAATCGACCTTCTTTTCAAATTTGTCCTCTCCAAAAGTTGGCGTTCCCCTTCCGGGGTGGTCCCAAAGGATCACTTGCGGAAGTGTCGGGTGTGGGTAATCCTTGACTTGCACAGTCGTCATCTGTATGCCAGTCACAGCAGCACGTGGGTCATCAGCACGAAGACCCAGCATGGCATTGATGAAGGAGGACTTCCCGGAGCCGGGCTCTCCTACTACGGCAATGTGGAGCGGAGTGCTGTTGAAAAAGGGCAGTGGTTTTGCCAGCACGTGCGACACAGCACCTGCCAATTGGCCCTGAGAAATGGCTACCTCGAAGTCTTCCACCATTGTGGATCTTGGTGCTCTGCAGAGAAAGGAAGCACGAAAATGTTAAGCGACTGGCCTAATTGGAAGCATTCATTTAAGAGTAGCATGCCCTCTGTAAAATTTCCAGCGTCTGCAATATCATTATCATTTGCCAAGCAACAAAGCTTTACAGGTAGAAGATATGAATCATAGAAGGGACATCAGGAGCTGGAGTTGCTGAGACAGCATCTTAAAAAGCAGAGACATCACCTTGCCAACAAAGGTCCGTATAGTTAAAGATATGGTTTTCCCAGTAGTAATGTATGGAAGTAAGAGCTGGACCATAAAGAAAGCTGATTGCCGAAGAATTGATGCTTTTGAATTATGGTGCTGGAGGAAACTCTTCAGAGTCCCATGAACCGCAAGAAGATCAAACCTCTCCATTCTTAAGGAAATCAGCCCTGAGTTCTCACTGGAAGGACAGATTGTGAAGCTGAGGCTCCAATACTTTGGCCACCTCATGAGAAGAGAAGACTCCCTGGAAAAGACCCTGATGCTGGGAAAGATGGAGGGCACAAGAAAGAGGGGACGACAGAGGATGAGATGGTTGGACAGTGTTCTCGAAGCTACAAACATGAGTCTGACCAAACTGCGGGAGGCAGTGGAAGACAGGAGTGCCTGGCATACTCTGGTCCATGGGGTCACGAAGAGTCGGAAAGGACCAAACGACTAAACAACAACAAAATACCCGTTGTCAATGACGTTAACTCTTTACTCAAAGAAAACCAAACAGCGCAGGCTGAGTGAACACAGCAACTCTTCCCAGTATCTCTTGCCCCAATGCAGCTGTTGCAAGGACTGTAGGTCCCCACATGCCCTGCTCTCTAAGGCTCCTTCTTCCCCAGCAACCTGAATTTCTTTTGTCTTGTCTTTCATTGCTCTGCCCTCTTCATTCCTCTTCATGTTCTGGCAGACCAGGGGGGAGATTCCCTGTGTCTACTCTGCCTCTTGAACCCCCTCCAGTTCTGCCTCTGATTCTGGACCGCTCTCTGCCACAGACTCTTCCTGCTCACTAAACCCTGTTGCCTCTTCATTTTCCGACATCTCCTCCTCCTCCTCCTCCTCCCAGTCTGCTCTCTCTTCTCCCTCTGACCACTCATCTCCATCCTACCCCTAATCCTCTGGCTCTGAGACTTCTTCCCCTGGGGGCTCCCTTGGGGGTTCCTCAACTGCTACCTCCCCCCACTCCTCTGCATTTAGCCAGCCCAGGACACAGGAGCAGAGCCCAAGAGCCCTGAATTTAGAGAGGGACATGAGGAAGGGGACTCTCAGGATTTTAAGAAACTGCACTTCCTGATTTTTAATTTTTTTTTTTTAGGTTGGGGAGGGAGGCTGTGCCCATTACACTGATGATTAAACCTTACATGTTTTTAGAAAGATGCAACGAAGAGGTATCAGTCTGAAGGTGCAGAAGAGGGGGGTCTGGTCAAAAAGAAGAAGGGGTTGGGGCAGTTTTATTAAAGTATGTTTTAAGAGCGCATCCTACCTTTAGACACTGTATGTAAATTCTGCCCCTGCTTGTCATTTAAGTCAGAGGTTTTCAACCTTTTTGTGTTCACAGCTCCTTTGATCAAGTACCTTCTTTCTGTAGCATCTCTGTGGGGCTCAGGAGCCCAGTTATGTCACCCCTTGCCTGCAGAGCTGGCAGCTTCTCACCCTTTTTCAAACAACCCCCCTCCTTCTTAAGTCTTCCCTCAGCCTGCTCTCTCCTTTCCTTGGGAGTCCTCTGGGCAGCTGCTGATGCCACCCCTGCTCTCTGAGTTGCCCTTCCTGCTCTCAATAGAGGTGCCTCCTCACACTGCCCCACAGGGGCCTGGGGCTTGTCTGTCCATTCTCAGCAGCAAGGGCTGGTGGTCTTGCTGGCTGGGCTCCTTTGCCCACTTGCCTGCTTACTCTGAGGCCCCGTTTCAGCTCCTGGAAACCAGCACCCCCTGGCCAGCCCCAGAGGCACCATCCACCTGGGGAGCTTGTAACCAGGGCTGCTGCAACAAACAGCTGTGCAAACCTTTCAGAGGCAGAGACACCAGAGGGCATCAGAGGAGGGAGGGAATGAAAGAGGGACAGAGGCCAGTGTTGCCCACGGCACCCCTGACCACCATTCAAGGCACCCCAGGGTGCCACGCCACCCTGGTTGAAAACCACTGATTTAAGTAATTAATAACCAGATTCCCCTTATGTGTCTAAATTCTCCACCCACCCACCCCTCCCCCAAGCTGAACATTACAATGGTACCTTGGTTTACAACCATAATCCGTTCCGGAGGTCCGGTTGTAAAGCAAAACAGGTTGTAACCCAAGGCGCACTTTCGCCAATGGGGCCTCCCCCCCCCCCAAATTGGTTGTAATTCAAAAAAAAGGGACACGCACTTCCGGGTTTGACGTGGTTGTAATCCAAAGCGGTGGCAAACCAAGGTACCACTGTATCAGCTTTCCCACGAATGAACACGCGTCACCGCTGGAAAGGGAGACCCGCGTCGATTTCAGAGCAGTTACTTACAACTCTTATAGTAGCACCAGCTCTGCTTGTTCCCTGGTGGTTGCATGTTATTAATTCCCTTTGCAGCGGGGAAGAAGGGCAGCCTTCTCCGACATCATTATTCATATGAGTAAAAATAAACGATTCTGCCGCCCCCCGCCTAGCAATGAGCTCAGAGTCTCCTTTAACGCAGACACGCTCAGAAAAACACAAAAAAAAAAAGACACGGAAATCATCAGAGCCGCAGGAGAAATGCGCACCTCCTTACCTGCTGCCAGCCCGGATTTTTTGCAGTAAAGCTCAGTTCCCTCTTCGGAGGCTTTGCTTGCTGGTCTCTTAGGCTTTTCTCCGCCCAACTCTCTTTCTCTCTCTCGCTTTTATTCCCTCTCCCTCCCGGTCGTCGCACTAAAAAAAGCAAAGATGAAAGCGAAAGCACGAGCGAGGACGAGATTGCAACGCATAGCCAGAGCCGCATTCCCCGCTAGAGGAGCTCCAAGCAGCCTGATTGACAGCAGTGCAGCTGCCTTTAAATGGGAAGGTCCCAAAGGCTCACTCGTGAAACTTGAAGCATCCGAGATGGTTAATCCTTTACCTCTGCCGTAGTTGCCTCTGTGCCAGTCTCAGCAGCTCCCGCGGTTTCTGCACTTAAGTCCCACATGGCACCGATTTCAGGGGGTTGATCTAGATGACCCTTGGGTTCCCTTCCAGATCTGCAATTCTACGATCCTATGACTTTCCAGAGCTCGGCTCTCCTACTACTGCAGTGTAGATTGGAGTCTTTGCAAAGGACGAAAGAAATTTCAGGAGCGGCGTGAAATGTTTTGGAACCTGCAAAGAAGCAGGACGGGTCCTATCGCCTGTCTCAACTGCTTTGAGGTGTATTGCAATTAAGCAGGACATTAATGCTGCAAAATAAACAGTGTTGTTCCAGCATGCTTTCTTCACAGCGTGGATGCTTGCGGCTCATGATATTGTTGATGTAAAAGTAGCAACTTTTGTACCATGATGTATTTATTGCTTAAAAAACCCATTACAACAAAGGTGGTATCTAACATTGATGGTAACAAAGCTTTGTGTACTCTCTGGCCCCTATTAACCAGGGCAAATGAGGACAATCATGCAGGCAGGATAAAATCTGCTGATATTTGGGTAGATCTTCTGTAATTCAGAGCAGGGCTTTGAGTGTGACTTCCCCTGTTCTGTGGAATAGCATTCCTGCAGAGATACAACAGGAACCCGCTACCCGCAATTTCTAAAAACAACTGAAGATGTTTTCATTCTGACAAGTTTTCCCAGGCGGATGAATAGGTTGCTGTCATGAGTGTCTATTTAGCATTGTTTGAAAACTTATTTACTTTTTCCCCCTGTGTTGTTTTTAACTGCTTTTCAGCTGTGTTCATTGCATTTTGTACACTGCCTTTTGGGGAAGATAATAATAATAATAATTATAATCATAATAAATAGAAGTCCTGATGAATTTTCATGAGAATTTTTTTAAAAAGGAAATAGCCAGCTGATATGGAGATGTGATGCACACAGTGATGTTGAAGCTGGAAGCTCCTCATATCCCGCAGAAGCAGGATATTGACAAGCTGGAACGTGTACAGAGCAAGGAGACCAAGATGATCAAAGCTCCACAAACCAAGCCTTATGGGGAACGGTTGAAGGAGCTAGGTAAGTTTAGCTTGGAAAGAGGAGATTTAGAGGAGATACGATAGCCATCTTCAAATATCTCACACAGAAGAGGGAATAAGCTTGTTTTCTTCTCCTCCAGAGGGTAGGGCCTCAAATGGCTTCAAATTACAAGATTGCACATGAGGAAGAAATGATTTATTTTTTAGAAAAGTCCTAACATTCTGCAGGATGCAGAGCGGCTATAGAGCCCGCATGATGAGCTGGCTTTGCAAACCAGGCAGGCAGGAAGAACACCAAACTCTCCTCAGAGTGATCCTAGACTGACAGCAAAGCCTGTGTCTTGTGTGGCGAGTTCCTGCCCCCCACCAAGGATAAATAAAGACACCAGACACCAGAATTTAAGGTTAAATGGGCGAATTAGGCCACAACTTTATTGAATTCAGGAATGAGAGGCATTGGCTTAGGCAATGTGAGTGCTTGAGGGCCCTGCTCCTTCCTGCCACTTACCATCTGGCCCAGGGCAGATATGACATATGACATAATATGACATAATAGGCATCACTGAAACCTGGTGGGATAAGTCCCACGATTGGAATGTAATAATGGGGGGATACAATCTATTTCAGAGAAACAGACCAGACAAGAAAGGAGGAGGTGTGGCGTTATATGTCAGGGATGTGTATACCTGTGAAGAGATCCAAGATTTAGAACCTCAAAGCCAAAGTGAGAGCATTTGGGTCAAAATCAAGGGAGAGAAGAATAACAGTGACCTCATTGTGGGAGTTTACTATAGATCCCCAAGCCAAACGGAGGACATAGATGATGCCTTCCTGGAACAGATGGCCAAGCATGCAAAAGGAAGGGAGATAGTA